CTGTAGCCGTAGCCTATAAATTTAGCTATTTTATATACAAGCTTCCTTTTTAACCTATATACTTTAAAACCTATATGAATTAATAGTATATAGTACGCGGCAGGAGTAATTAAATTTATGTTATTTATCGTTTAAAAGATAGTAGGAAATAGGAGTAATAATTTAATATATTTAGTTTATAAACATAAATAGCTTTATTGAGTACTTTATTAATTAATTAGATAGTACTTATTATAACACCTACTATTACGTCTAGGCGAAGGTATGGGCTTATTAAGCCCTATAAGAAAAGTAGCCGTTTTAATAAGGAATAGCCGTTTTAATAAGGAATAGCCGTTTTAATAAGCTCTACTAAAGGGCCGAGACCTCCCCGGAAGTAAGGCCGAAAAATCCTATAATTAATCGTAGACTAACTTCCTAATTAGAATATTATATAAAAACTAACGTTCGGTAAATAGAACTATATTCTATAGAATTCTAGGTGGAATATTCTATATAGAATACTTCTATAGTACCTATAAAATAGAATAGAATCCTTCTATTAACTAGGCTCTAGAATTCCAGGGGTTTTATAGAACTTTAGAGGGTTTTCTAACTAATTAAAATATAGTATTAAGGAGTAGTTTTAAAATAAATAGAAGAATTATTATTTAGTACCTTATCTAATACGCGATAGACAAAATAAGCTATAACTTATTTTATCTACCTACGTAGTATATTTTAAAAAAAGTATTATAATATAAGTAGTCTAAAGCTAAATAGGAGCTTCCTATTATTTAACGAGGCCGGAGTAACTTTCTTCCGAGTTATATAATATTCTATCTAGAAATTCTAGAAACTCTATAGAATATATATCTCTAGAACGAAATACTTCTGTGACAGACGTGCTTCAGGTAGAACTCAGAACAATTAACACTCTATTCTTAGGACAAAAGACGAGGAAAGAAGGAGAGCTCTAGTGAGCTGGGAACTAAATACAGGTCGTGCGCGCTAGCGCCTCGCTAAGCGAGCATGTGACATCCAGCCCTCGTGACCATAACCGTCACAACTTCTGGCTAAATCCTAAAAGGAATAGAATTATTTTAGAGGGGGGGTCTAGAATAGAAAGGAATTCTAGATACCGAACGTTAATAAAAACTTTGTTATAATCTACTAATTATAATATAAGTAATTAAAGACGTTTATAAATCTTAGTATAAATTTATATGTTTTTTTTCGACTTAGTTAATATATTCTAGGGGCTCTTTAAAAGACCTCCGAATTATATAGAAGATAGAAGATAATAATAGCTTATAATAGGAAACAAACGTATTAAGAATATAGGATATATATATTAATATAATTTATATTTAATCGTTACTTAGTATATATTATATTAATTAAAGGAGGCTTATTATTAGTTTTCTTTTATATTACTAGCGTGCTTTAAGTACTTATAATTCGCTTATATATATAAGTAGAAAGTAAAGTATAGGTACCCGTAGCTATATTAAGTAGCGCGAAAGGAAGTAGCTATAAAATAAAATAGAAAGGAGAAAGGGAAGGGGAAAACTAAGAATATATAAGATAAAAAAAAGAAGATAAGGAAGAACTATTCTTATAAAACTCTTTTAGTAAGTAGGTATATCTACCGCCTAATACTAATATCTACTACTTATTCTATAACTTATATATATCTACCTCTCTTATATTTATATAGTAAGCGTAGGAAAACCCTTTTTAGACTAAAACTATACCTAGAAAGCTTTTTTATCTAGCGAATTTAATCTATTTATTTCTATACTATTCTAACTTATATATACTATCCTAATACTAGTTCCTAGTACGTTAGTAGTTAAGGATTAAGTTTAAAAGAAAAGCTAAAATCGTATATTTATTCTCTATACTTAGATATTATATATTTAGATATAGTATTATTACGTAGAAATAATTATTATATATAAAAGAAGTAAAAATAGAGACTACTACTACCTTTATAAAACAGCTTATAAAAGTATAGCTAATAATATAGTAGTAGTAGTATTAAAGGTATATAGTAGTAGTAGGTAGAATATATATTCTATTATATAAGTCGTTTACTAAGCCTTTATTCTTATTTACTATAAATCCTACTATAATATTTCTACTTAAGTAGAATATAAGCCTTTACTAAACCGGCTAGGCTATTATATTACCACTTTTACTTTTATTTAATTTCCTAAGCCCCTTATTATTATTGTATAGTTCTATAGTAGCCGAAACTCCCATACTCTTATCTCTACTACCTAGCCTCTATCTCGGTTACTTAAGTAGATACCTAGTATCTAGTAGCTTCTACTTAGTTAGGGTCGTCTTATGAAGACTCCCTACTCCCTTAGCTAGCTTCTAACCTTATAATTATTATATTCTATACTATATCTATTCGTCTTCTAATACTTACTTTTTTTTCTTTCTCTATAGTGTCACGAATCACGTGCTCACGTGATACTTGTCATAATAAGAGGCGCAACCCTCGACAGGCACATCCAGGTTTCTTATAGCAAATAGGGATCGTTTGGAGTAGCTAAGCGATCCAGGGATTTCTCTGTATTGTTATCACGTGACCAGTAGTGATCGCTTGGTCGTGAGCGACTACAACGGCCAGGTCGTCTTGGTCGCGGCGACCAGCAGCGATCATGGGAATGAGGGTTCTATATAAGACTGGCACGTCTGCCACTAGATAGGAGCTTCGTGCTCAACTTAGTTATCAATCTTATCATATTAGTTTGACATCTTTGATACAAGTAACGAGTTCACTTCCAAGTGAACAACCCGATAGTCTTCTTCTTATCATAGCATACCAACCAGCGAACACCCAGCCAAGTTTAGTTAGCCAGTTTGAGTATTCGTTACATATCGCTTCTATATAATACAGTTATAGCTTTTACCTAACTTAAGTTATACTTAAAAGTAGATATATAAATATAATAACTAGGTTAAGTTAAAGCTTAATTACTTAGAATATAGGTTTATATAGCTCTAGGAACCTTATAGTATATATAGTATAATATCTATAGTATATATATATATATAAAAGTACTAAGAATATAGATACTTTTACTCCCTTTTAAAATATAGGCAAAAATTATAACTATATTATCTAGAAAAGATAGTTAACTATAGAATAAGACTATAAATATAAGACTAGTAATATAGAGAGAATAAATAAAAAAAGAAAAAGAAAGTAAATAATAGTATATAAAAGCTAATAAAAGAAAAAGAATAAAAAAAGAATACTTCTAAGTATTCCTCTCTATATTAGAATAATTTTATTCGAAAAGAGAGGTATATATAAAGTAACAACTACCTACGTCTCTTACAGGCAACGGGCAACAGTTACTATAGCTCCTCTAATATAAAAATCCGTATACCTATAAGAAAGCTTCTTATAATTAAAATTTTAAGTAATTCCGTGCCCGATCCGCCCATGTCCGTTCCGTAAAGCGCGAGTTTTGCACGTGCGGCAGTTTACACTTTATTATGTAGACTGAAATTTTGGTCGGGACGGGTTGCTGAACTGCCTGAAATGAGATCAAGAAGTACCTCGAAGTATAACTTAGCCAAGCATGAACTATAATCTGTCTCATGTCCACATCAAGTACCTTACTACTATACGTCATACTTACTCTTCATGTGAACGTTTGTCTCAATTCTCAAATGTTTCAAGTGCCCATGCAGTCCTATGGATCAAGAAGACTGAAAAGCAACGACTACTTTGACTATGTACTGTACCTTCTGTGATTTGTGGTTACAGTTCTGAATCCTCATGACCTGTGTGAACACAACATCGGGGCCAGATTGAGCTCAAGTGTACAGTATGGTGTATCTGGTGAGACGACTTGAGTCGTACATGCGCTTCGACGTTTACTTCGAAGTACTATTTTAAAATATAATTTTAACCTTAAACTTCAGCGTGCACGTTCCTGCGAAAAACGGTAGGAAGGTAGAAGAGTATGGTCGGATGATCAAACCTGGAAGTAGAAGGTTAAGGGAGTGGACAGTTAAAGCTAAACACTGTCGCTGATTATAGTACGTCTTAGCCCCGCCTTTCAGCTAAACCAACGAATCAAAGACTTATATCTGGGCGATATAGACCTTTTTCACAAATGATCTACGTGACAGTGTCTAGTATTAACTGTCCACCCCCTTTACTTGGTAGTCTAAGAGGTCAGCGGGGCGTTCCCTTCTGTGATGTGGTGTAGCTTACTAGAAAGTACAACTACACTCCTATACCCGACACTTATCTGCCATTCTATGACACGGTGTTCTCGATTTAGCTAAGCATTTGATCTACCCTCCCAAGAGTTGAAACAAATGCAAATGCATCATTATATACTAGGATGGAGGAACGATTCACTCCTCCAAATACTACGGGCAACTTCCGTAGAAGTGTACGCAGGAACAAAGAATCTAGTATCAAACTAGTAGTTTTTGTTTTCCTCAATAATATTCTTCATCTTTCAGCCATTTGAGGCTTCAGTTCAAATGATACACAGATATTTGCTAGTGATTATTCTACCCCTCGTAATTCCTATCCACCTACTTGAACAATACGTTTCTTTCCCCTTCAGACAAAACTTAATTCATCGGCTGGATACAAGACTGGTTATGCCCCACAAGAATTGACTTTTATGAGTTTGGCGAAAAGAGAATCCTTTCTACAGTATAATTATCAGCTGGCAGGACGCCATCTGGTACATGTTACTCGCGCAAACCTTATGTGCTCATCCACTTGAAAGTTCATTTTCTTTCCAGGTCCTAGCCCCCCGAGAATTATTGAGGGGTTTTGAGAGGCTTCCAATCGTCTCTATATAAGAGCCATGATGGACGCCTCTTGGAAAAAACCCACCAACAGCTCATTCTCAATTTCATTCTTTTCCAAGGTTTTCACCTAGCATTTCGTTTTGCCTCCGGCAGGCCAATTTTAGATCTATAAGCAATAAACCGTTCGTTTCTTCTTGGAACAATCCTATTCAGCAACCATGCGTCTCCTTCGAACCATCTTCTTGGCTGTTCAGCTTTCGCTTGCCGTTCAAGCCGTCGCTCTTCCAGCAACGAAGAAGACAAACGAAGTAATAAAGAAGCCAGACGAAACAAAAGACAAGCCAGCTGCAACTCCCACCCCAGTAGACAAGGCAGGACCAGAGTTCGATGGATCATTTGGTAAAAATACAACCCTCAAAGCTGGTCCAAAGACTGGTTGGCACTTCAAGACCGTGAGTAGAACTCATTATAAATCAAGGAGATAAGTAACTTACACACCTCTTAGTCACTGGGAAATATTGAAGTCGACATGATGACTGACAAAGATCTCACTTTCACGGTTACTGAAAACAAGGACCCCAAGGGTACTGCTCCAACAGGATTTAAGTTCCTCGACCCAAATTCATACACCATTGCTATCAGTGACGACGGACAAATTAACCAGGTCGACTACATTTTCAGTATGTCAAAGACTTATACTCATCGGACATTGAAATAATGCTGACGGTTCTGTAGCTGGCAGTAATATTGCAAAGGGCGCAACTGCTCGAACCGGAAAGCTCGTTGGCGGCAAATTCGTATTTGAAGGGGAGAACATATTTGACAAGGAAGTGAGCGAACTTAAATGCAAAGTCAAGACAGTAAACGGAGAATGGGCTATCTTTACACCAGACAAGAACGGTGGAACAGAAAAAGAGAAGCCTAATGGAACACACAAAGAGAAGACAGGCGGAAAGCGTTCTATTGAGTGGGATGGATAGTCGCTTCCTTGAACCTTGGATGGATCAGAGTTTCCGGACGCGTTTTATATATTCTCTATAACTTCTTTTACTAAATAATTTTGAATTTCATGATCTATTTCTACCCATGATGCGATTGAAAACGCATGTTCTGCGGAACACTATTCTAACGTGCCTACTTGCTTCAGAATGACTTGAGCCTCAATTTTACTTGTATCTAATAATGAAATGACAGGTATGAATAGTCAGATTAAGGCCTGAAGGAATATCTCAAAACGAAATAGAAAGGTTCGACCAGACTCTCATTCATAAAGCGAGGGAGTTCTCAGCTCTCCTTTGCCCATAAGCGACACCATATTTGGCCTTCTCGTGTGTGTAATCAGCTTCGCCAACTGCATCAATCAATAGATGCAACTCTTCTTCTTGATCATCCAGTTTTTGACTTTCTGCGACCCTAATTCTTGCAGTCCTTTTCCACATACCGGAGGTCTCAATTGCTGCACACGTGTTCGCTAAGCTTCCTGGAGCCGGTGAAGAATTCTTCGCTAGGATCATCAACTCAGCTGGATTCTTCCAGGCTCCGAAGAAATACCCAGTCCAAATAATCCAGCCTACGTGACTTAGTGCCATGGCAATATAGAAGAACAGAAGAGCCAACGCTAGTTGAATTGCAATATTGTCGGCTTTATATGCAAGCCCTGGTATAGTTATATACCACGTCATCTGTGTTTGGTTTGCGGCGCTCACGCCAAATGGAGGTGGATAAGTGTATGAAGGTTCTTGCTGATCTCCAGAAAAGAATGACGGGAAGTCTTGCGGATCAATGTAACATGCAGAAATCGTTGGGTTGCCTGCTTGAGAATGGGTACCGATGCGAGAAATTCCATCAGTAACCAGTGTTGCGACAGCATTAGCTGCGACACTGTACACTATATCGGTATCAGGAATGCTGATTGTTCCGTTGATAAGACCTATTGCTTCAAAAAGGATTGCCAGTGTTGATTGATTTTTGCCATTACTCTCCAAAAAAGGAGTCAAGGTTTTAAGCCATTCTGGTTTTAGCAAAATAGATTGCCAAGATCCATCGTCTTTTGGCAGAAAGCCCGCGGCCTCGTTGTATGAGTTTGTTTGCTCAGAAGGTGCACGCAGATGGGCAGAGTCGAGAACTGGTACCAAGGGACCATTTCCCATAAGAGCCTCTCCAGGGCCCCAACGCGCATCAATCGAACATGTCATGGTAGATACAGGAATACCGTTCTTGCTCTGTGGTACTTGGGTTACTAAAAGAGCACTCGCGTAAACATTGGTCGTATCACCGATACTTGTATAAACTGGATTTGTTGGTAATGGAACCCACTCTACGACAGGCTCACGGTCAGAGGAGTTTATTGATGAATATCTTCTTGGCAAAAATAACGTTCTGCCTGACCACACTGAGAACGGCTCGAGTAGAGTAGAGGAAACTAGAAGACGTTGTTAGAGGAAATGTAACGCTGTGTTGGTCGACGAAACTCACACTCCAGTTTGTAGTATACTGAGATACCTTTTGAACATGACATACCGTTCGCACCGCAGGCAGCTTAGTGAGGATGTGTGCGGTTGTTCCAGGTAGCCATTTGAAGTTGGCAGCTTCTGGTGGAGCTTTGGTGCTCGCAATAGCTCTGCGCCATGCAATATGTAGACTCCCAGCCCAAAGATTGATTGCTGGCTGGGTTGCTGTGGCCCAGCTCTCTGGGGTCTCGGCTGCTGCCACTCGTAGAAATTGATTGGATTATGGAGATGAATAAACAAGTCACTTCCTCATTGAGTGTATGTTGACAAAAGGGTTGAATAACCCGCCCAAGGGCAGCCTAAATAGTCTGGAATTGGCGATTCCACATCTCTTACCGAAGGGGAATCGCACAGTGGCCCACCTCCAGAGCGGTCATCTAGTGTGCCAGGAAAGAGGCTGGAGCTGTTTCCTACGGCATGAAAGAATGCTGAACCAGCTGGCCAAGCAGGTCACATGGTTGGCAGAACCAGAACTGCAGCAAAGGGTCCTGCAAGTGCTACAATAATTCCAGATGCGATTATCCAAAATGCGACTAGCAATTTTTGCCAGCTCTTCCATAATCCACTTATTCCACTCCAAAAGGTTGTTGAAAAGAAGAATTTTATGTCCGTGAAACTGCTTTCTGCTGTGATGAGACCCAAAGGCAAACCATGGTTGCTACGGATTAGCACATATCGAAGAATATCTCGGATTGTCATTCCAAGGGAAGCAATAACGAGTAGCTCCTGTTTACCATGTCAGAAATCAGAGCGGGTTATTTGGCATCTATAGAGTACCAGTAGTTTTGCAGTGACCTGAAGGCCAAGCACCGTAAGCTCCTGCGTTGATTCTCGTGGGTCGCCTGGATATTTGTCGCCTATGTACCAGCCTCTGAGGCTAAAATAAGCTACAGTGATAATGGTTGAGACTGGCAAAAGATGTGTCTAAACAAATTTAAGAATTCTTCAGTATATAATTCTCTACAATGGCAATAAAACAGGGAGTCTAACCCAACAGCCAAATAAGGCTCTTTGCCGGCTGATTCTCCATACGACCTTTGACTTTTCTTATTTATCCCTGTTAAAGACTGCCACCAAAATGGCAATGACACGTCCTACTGCTTCCCGAATACCAAACTTTCGCGTTCGGTTGTTGGATAATCGCTTGCTATCAAGCAATCTTTTATTTTCAGCAGGAGACATGATATGTAACTAAACAATCTTTCAAAACGAAGGAAGGACATAATCAGACGAAAGGTCCACTTAAGACTGGAGAAAGAGTCTATATACGTAGTCGTTCCTCAGAGCTTTACTCTGTGAGACTTCGACAACCAGGAAAAAGAAAGATTTGGGCGACAATCTTTTGGCCCCCGAACGCCCTATGCATCAACTGTACTTCATTGGTTGAATGAGCCCAATTGCGTCACTTGGTCGTACGTAAGTGTTACAGTTCTGGGGCCATCAGTCATAGTCAAGAAAAATGTCACAATAAGCTGAGTGGCGTTCAGCCCATTCAAATAGGCTACGAGTATATTCAACCACTTATAAGCGCGAAGATGAGATGTTGTGTAACCTTCGTATAGCCCCCAATCTCTAAGCTGACGTGCTCTACTATTTATTCCCGAGTAACATAAGTAAATCTGTGAGATTTTGAAAGTTACTGCGTGGTAATGCGATAGATCGGAATTGATTATTTAAGCTACTACAGTATACGCTTCTCGCTAAACGACACACCCACCGCGACAACGCCCTAGACCTACAGTAGTAGAATATTCTACTAACTGTATAGTAACACTAGGGAGTGTTTGAACTGAAAATATGGCCAACGATCGGCAAATTGAACTCGATTCCATGGAATTATGGAATTCTATTCTAAAAGGAATATTCCAGAGCACCTTATATATAGAATAGAATATTCTATTGAATAGGCTCTATAACTCTATGGAATTATGAAATTCCAGAGTAGAATGTGACTAATGAGAAGGTAGGAATTAGGGGGGATTAAAGTAAGAATTACTCGATTTTATAATACCGGTATTATATAACCTCCTCGTAAGAAACCTGGTCATTGCTCTGTCCACGCTATTGACAGTTATTCTGCCAAAAGTCTAGTACAAATTAATCAATTGTCCTACTTTACAGGTTAATAAGGAGTGAAAAGTATTAATTGTTCTAAACTATTCGCATAATTGATTTAGTTGTATAAGGTCTTTAGTATAATACTTTTATATCTCAGGCGTGTACAGAGTAATAACCGCCTCTCTGACTTAGAAACTCATTTAAAGATTTTCGCACCGCTGATAGAACCAAATCTTGATACCCCACTGCAGACGGTCACCGGCAAACTCGAAATCCTCCAAAGTCGATACGATGATTTGAAGGGGGATTATGACTCACTTAAAAGGGATAAACGCGAGCTGGAAAATCAATTGTCCAAGCATGTACGGTGCGACAGAAAATTCGACGTTGTTTACTACGATATGAAGGTCCAGGAAAACCAATCTTTGCAAAAGCTTTTGGAGGTTGAGCGCGAAAAGTACAATACTATCCAGATTCAACACATAGATTGCCGGAACCGAATTTCCAGAGACGAGTACAATCTTTTAAAAGAAAATCAAAATGCTCTACAAGAACATCTTCAATCTCTCAATGAATTGAGGGTCGATTATGATAGCTTAAAGTCAACTCATGAGAATTGCATCGCCAACGAAGTCAAGTCTAAGGAGGAGCTTAATATTCTAAAAGGCCGGTATGAGGAACTTGTTAGAGTTTCCTCTCAACCTCAACCTCCACCTAGCCTACCACAGTACCCTGTCGTTCCCTACAACTATAATATGCCAGGTATCATGGCTCCACCCTTTTATACGACTAGTGGAAACTCTCAACAATCTCAACCACTGGATGCCAGAGCACCGGTTTTTACTCCTTCTGTACCATCATCCGTTGCTGGCTGAAGACCTAGTACAAGTTCAGCCACACCAGAAAGATCTTCTGCACCGGCAACATTCTCTGCACCATCGTATATATTTCTTGCCCACAGACAAGCAGGCACTCCGGATGTTTTTGAGTCTGCTGTGGAGGACTCGCTTAGGGTTCGAATGGATGATCAGATTACTAAATGGGAAAACACCAAGAATTCAAAGATAAAAACCTGGTGGAGTTATAGCATCAAGGCTAGTGCACGTTGTGTTCAAGCTCGAGTCTTGGGAAGAAGCATAAAAACTTACCCTTCAAGGGAGGACTACGCTTGTGCAAACTGTACTGCCATGAAACGCCTGTGTGTGAGGTTGGAGAAACAAGGGGGAACCCCAACAATCATGCCGTTGGAACCTTCAGACCGCCTACCTAGAGTAACCTCTTAAAAAGAGGGTTATTATATTAATAGTTAGTATTACTTCGAGTCCGGAGTCACAAATACCTGTTGTTGATAGGTGATCTTTTCAAGAATGCTCATGTTTTTTGAAGTAACGAGACGAATTTATTGATTACCGACCTGCAAAGGTTGCCATTAGTTCAAGTGTTCTCGGTCATAGTTATAGGCAGTGAGAGGCAGCGAGTCAGCTATTCGCTTAGCACATGTCTGCGATTAAACAGTAAGGGTGCCCACCTCACCTGCATTGTTTTGATAACATTGTCACGTGTGAGACAAAACATGAGATTCTTAGGCGAAAGCAACAGGAGCCTCAAAACAAATTCTTGTATCCTGATTTCATAGAACAACATTTAAGTATATATGCCCCGAGAGCTATCATTGCCACAAATCCTGTTCTCACCCCTAATAGAGAAAAAGCACCCTACCGTATTATATCACCACGACTGCTCAACAATCAGAAGAAATACCAAGCATAATATTAATTTTAATATACATCGGATCATCTCATTTATCGTGTCCATCCATCGCCCAATGCAAAACCCCATCGCTATCATCCACTGCAAACACGCATCATAAAACCGCTCCCCTTCCATATCTCAAATAACCAGAGCGCCCACGCAAGAATATGCATTTCCATTCATAGCTCCAAAGAAGACAGTCGGCTCGATATTAACGCTCTCAGAAGCAACGCCCCCTCCGTGAAAATTAGAATAAGCCCAACGTAACCCCCCCAAATCATACACATCTGTCTCCCTACCGCCCTAAAACGCAAAATATGTCACGTTCTCATCAATGACCGACCTTCATCGTCCATTCTGACTCTGCCCCATCTGACTCTGTCCCATCGAAGCCCTAACTTTATTTCGCTCAACCTCCGCCATTAACTCCGCATTCTCCCTACTTGCCTCTTGCAACCTCTGCCGCGCACTGGACCGATCCGTCTTCCTCGCCTCGCGCTCAGCCTTCAGTTTATACTCAAGCTCCTGGAGACGAATTTGCCACCTAAGATCAGGCGTGTACTCAACATCCGCGGATGACATGGCGTTACTCTTCGTTGGAGTCTGTGGTGCTGTATTACCACTTCCACTTCTCGAATTTCCGAATGACTCTGAAGTAGTAGTCCGTGTCATGGTCGAAGTACGACGGGTATCTGTAGATCTATTCCTTGGTCCGGTAGGGACAGATGGAGAAGGGCTTGTGGTACCAAAGGCAGAGGCTTGGACTTCGTTTGCGGCTCGGAGACTGGCGACTTCGGTTTTCAAGACCCGGTTTAGATCTTTCAGTCTAGTTATCTCGGCTCGACCATCGCCAGCTGGGCCAGGGATGGCACTTCGAGCTATGGCTTCAAGACGATCAAGTCGCTTGGTGCGCGTTTCTAAGTGGGATTCCAGGGTTCGGTATTCTTTCCACAGATCTTTCTCAATGCCACGAACTCGAGACTTGAAATCAGTCACGAGTGATTCAATGGTTCTCACAGCTGCAAGGAGATTTTTAGCAAACCCAGGAAGCATGGTTGAGATAACTTCCAAAGATGGAACTGCTCGACCGTTAATGAGTCGATTGTTATGAGTCCAATCACTCCCACATATAGCACTCAGTCGGTTCCACATAGTCAAAAGAAGAGTGTTGCGCTCATTCATTTGATCCTTGATAGCAGTTTCCAGAGCAGCAATCTTGCGCTTGTCCTGTACTCTCGTGGTCTCAAGTTCAAGAACACGAGTCTCATGCTGTGAAAGAGTCCGAGTGGTATGATGCGACGTCTTTTGGAAAGTCTCGAATTGATGCTTGGTATTGCGATGTGTTTGCTTTTCCTTCTCGAGGGCATCAGCAAGAGTTCGAGCCTCCAATGCATGAGATTCCAAGAGAGAATCGCGCTGACGTATCACGCGCTGCTGTTCCGCGACGGTCTTCTTTTTGGCATCGAGTTCGGACATGGTGTTTTCAAGTTCTCTCTGGAGCTTAGCGATGGACTGCATATATGTTAGTACCCTGTCTCTGAATTCATCCTTGGAACTGACATGAAGTAAGCTTGATCGAGTACCGTTGAGATCCCCAAGGGCCTCTCTCAAGTTATTTTCAAGTTCAGTCAAACGCTCCTTCCATTCGGCAGCCTCAACCTCTCTTGAAGTCAGGTTTTTGCGCAATCGTCGAGCTTCATCTTTGGCTGTTGAATTCTCACGATTAAGTTCATTAATGTACTGTTGAACCTCTTGTTTCTCTTTGCCAGCAACAACCTCCCTCTGATGACGTTCAGCGGCAAGTCGTTCCTCCAATTCTCTGGTGCGATCCCGTTCTTCTGCGAGACTCTGTTCTGTATTCCGAACAACAGTCTCCAAATCGCTAATCTTAATTTTATCAGCATCTTGCTCTTCACGAAGGAAGCCGATTTCTCCTTGACTACTCTCTTGTTGGACTGTCAGACGATCGATTTTACCGTTGGCATCGACAAGATTCTGCTCCAAGTTTTCCATTTCCTTATTAGCTTCCTCGAGGTCGCGTTCCAGATCCTGGATTCTTCTGGTTTGTTGCTCGTGGTCATCCTCTAATCTCACAACACCCTCACTCAATTCTCGCATCTCTTTTTGTAGTGCCTGGTAATCTTCAGTGATATCAGCCAACTCTGTCTGTAGACGTTCAATGTTCACAGCAGATTCTTCGGCTTCCACAGCAAAACCATCAAGCTCCTCTTGTGCTTCTTCTCGAAGGGCCTCAAATTTCTGTTCGGATTCCTCAAGTTGATGCAAAGCTTCATCGCGATCCGCTTGCATAGTAAGCAGGTCGGCTTCTGCAGTCTCAAGAGCTTCCTGGAACTCGATTCGTTCAGCTTCAGCTTGTCTCTTCTGTTCGACCGCGGTATCGAAATCTTCCATGCAAGATTGAAGCTCACGTTGAAGATCTTGATTGTGGATTTTGAGACTATTCACCACATCACGAAGCTCACCCGTTTTCTTGTCGAAATCCTCACGTTCAGCATCAGTAATGGAATGGTCTCTTGTTACAGCGCTAGTACGAGAGGAGGATCGACCATGAGCTCGTGAAGCGGACCGGTCTAAAATACTATCGCCTGCCATGGAACCGCCGCCTCCACGTCGCAGAAGTTTAAGATCTTCAATTTCTTGGTGCAGTCGTTCTTTTTCGCGATTTCGAGATGTGAGCATGGAAGTCTGCGCACCAACTTCACGTCGCAGCTCTGCATTTTCATGTCTCAATTGTTCGCAGTCTCGTCTGAGGTCCTCGACCAGAGTGCTTGCAGCACTGAATGCGCCATTTCGATCTTCCATTCGGTCGGAGAGGCCTGATCGTGGCCTTGAAGGTGAAACCTGTCGTTTCTTCGTGATGTTGTAAATATTTGTGGTGTGGTTAAGACCAGGAACGCCAAGTGCACCTGAACTGGTCTCACTTCTGAGTCGGAATATCTCGTCGCGGAGCTTTTTGTTTTCTTCGTCTGCTTGTTCTCGATGTGCAGTTTCTTGCTCCAGTAGATCTTTCCAAACCTCCATTTCCTCTCGTGCGTCAGCACTTTGACCACGAGAAGCCATGTTGCTAACCACTTCAGCCAGATTGCGCTTTTCGTTTTCTCGGGCAATGCAGTCGTTGCGCAACTTGTCAATCTCGGTCACATATTCTTCGACTCTTTCTCTGAGATAGATGAGCTCTTCCTCCTGCTCTTGAGCTCCCTCGTGGTCGAACCATTTTGGACTAGGGCCATCTGAATTTTCCGAGTGAGATGTACTGGGTCTTTCCTCGTCGTCCTTTAGCTTCTTTTCAAGATCCCGCAACTTTTTCTTCAAAGCTTTGTTTTCTTTTTGGGTAATGGTAAGTCCGGTTCTTAATTCCACATTCTCAGTAATCACTTTCTTAACACCCTCCTCAGATAACTTGTCCATTTTTTGACTGAGAAAGAAGATTCTCAGCTTTAGATCAAAATTTTCCTTCGATAACCTCCCAATCGTGTTACTTTGCTCTTTCAAAGTCATGCCCTTTCCTCTACTGAGCGCTGAACCCCCAAGTACTGGCCGCTTGATGGGCGAACCTGCATCACTTCTATCCCGGTACTCTCTGGCCATCGATTCTGGTACCAGCACATTTCTCACATGTCGCGCAATTATGGTATCTGTCGGTGCAGCCAAAATTCTGCCAGATGCCCTTGGTGTCTCGGGTGGTGAATTATGTTCAGCCGGCTTTTCTTCCCCATTTCGCTTTGCCTCTGATATGATTGCTTGATTACCATCTAGACCGTGAACTGGAGACTGAGAGCCGCTTGGAAGATTGTGTATTCCCGAAGCAATACTACCTAAGCTGATTGATCTTGCCAAACCCAGGGTGCTATCACTCTCATTCCTAGAAAATCCAGCGGCGGGGACCGCACCGCCTGATTGCAAAGCATAGTCCGCCCCCATGCCCAATGTGGCATCACTTTCGTCGTATTCTTCTGTATTCGTTCCAAATGAAGACACAGAAGAGGTATGGCTATGTCGACTGCGCAGAAACTTTGGGCCTTTCCCGGATTTCTTGCGACCCAAAAGCGCGGCGCCGGGCGTACTACCAGCATCGGTATTAAATCTATTAGAAAGCGAATTATCGGTTGTATCCAGTAAAGAGTTGTTCACTGGTCTCCTTGGTGTTGGGTTGTAGGTACCCTCCTCGTCTGAATCCTTGTCTGCTCGTGAAATCTCGGTGTGATTTGTATCGCCATCCTGCCCACTCGAGCCAGCCATGGAAATCGCTCGCGAAACTGTTCGTGCCGCGGCGGCAGCAGTTGGAGAGGAGGACATTGTTTCGAGGGATGATGTTGTATTTCCCAAGCCCATGGTGGAGTCATCTTGGCTTTCCCCGTTTCGTATCGCTGGCGACTTGTAGAATTTTGGGAGGGTGGGTTCGTTGCTTCGCGGTAAGCTGAGTTGCACTGGTTCTGGCTCCTCCACTTGTTTGCTATCATTTGCCCCGTCGAAGAAAAAGGCACCAGTGTCGTCCAATCCCTTGTCTTCCAGTGCACCAATGGTCGATATTTCGGGCGGCAGAAAACTGGGCTCCACGTCATTCAGATGCTTCTCCATCTCGTTCTCCAAATCATGGTGCTGTTCTCCTTCTCCATACTCGGATCCGAAGAAACAGCTGCTGTCCGGGGCGGGGAGCGAGGGCAGAGTGGTGGGGTCGAGGGAGACGGCTCGACTTTTCCGCTTCTGCGCGAAGGGGTTGACATTCTCCGATTGGGGAAGCTCGAATTCCTCCTTTTCCTTGTCGGGCGAGAGATCATCCACATCATTGACCCCGAATCCGCCAGGGAGTTTGCGCGACGCCTTGCGCGCCGTGGGTGGGCGAGGTTCGTTGATGGTCGGAATGGCCATGGCCATCGACATGACCGAGTGATCTTCTTCTTCCTCCGCCATGGTTGACGAGTGCAGCGTCTTGCATTCGCGGGGTGGAAGTTCTGGTCGGGAAGGCTGCGGTTGCGGTTGCGGTTGATAGGGATGACGCGCTCGGTCCCCCTGCCGATTGTTGTTTTGTTGAACGGAGTACTCGATAGCCAGATTATCCCCACTTCGACCGAGTTGAGTGGTGGATTTTTTCCATCGGATGGTTGACAATGTTTACAATCACAAGGGAGTACCTTGATTGGAACGCGACGAAGACCAATTCACTCGTCGCACCGGTTAAGGTACAGGACGAGTAATGAATCAGAGCTTGCGGGTTGTTGACCTTTCCAGGTTCACTCTTAGTCGGAGCATAAACGGCGCTTCAGGTACACCGGTCGGTACTGGGGCGGAGCCGGGGCCGGGGAAGCCATATTATTACTGCCTCGAAAAGCAGGCATCCTCAGCTTTTGTACTCAGGCGAGTCAGGCTGACTTTTAACTCCTTTTCAACCACTCTCATCTAGATACTACCTACGTAGGCTAGGTAATGCTGCAGCACCAGTACCCTTCTGGATAAGAGATCTAGCAATTGGTGTTCTTTATTACAAGAAAATCGCATCATTTCCAGGTTTGCAAACAACACTCATTTCCTTACAATGTAGGTATGATGTATCCAACTCTTCCACCAATGCCTTCAGACAATGGCAGCATGCATATGAGCATGTATGTGCTGGCTGCCATTGCCACGCAGAAGGATCCACGCCCATGAAAAGGCGCAATGCTGTAACAAACGCAATACCCGTCGCATTCCTGTACTGAAAATAGAATCATTTAGCTGCCTAAGATCCAACAATAGCAGTCTGCTTCATTAAGATACGGAGTCAAGTGTAAACTGCTATATTGAGCGAATAACAAAGTAAGGGAAGAAGAGAGTTCCAGAGGAACGGAAGCTTATATACAAGATTTGAGCAACACGCACGTGCCGTGCTACACGTGATCTACCCCTTGTCCCTCCAGTGTAACGAATACTCAAACTGGCTAACTAAACTTGGCTGGGTGTTCGCTGGTTGGTATGCTATGATAAGAAGAAGACTATCGGGTTGTTCACTTGGAAGTGAACTCGTTACTTGTATCAAAGATGTCAAACTAATATGATAAGATTGATAACTAAGTTGAGCACGAAGCTCCTATCTAATGGCAGACGTGCCAGTCATATATAGAACCTTCGTTCTCCCAATGTCGCTCTGATCGTCGTGTTTCGACAGCTCGCTCGGTCGCGCTGTCGCGCTTTCACCACGTGACTATGAATGCTATGAAATCCTTGGATACTCAACAACCCTGAGTAACCACTGTTATGATATAACTACTCTGGATGTATCTGTCCTGTCAGAACGCCGTCTGGACTAACTTGTCACATGCTAACACGTGATTCGTGACATCCAACTCCGTAACAAATACGACATAATTAAGAACTACTCTTAATACGGCTATTATTATTAAAGACGTTAATATAATTTAGCTTCTAATTAATTGTAAGGCTAACCTATAGAATAAAGTAGCTTTTAAGTTAGTAATAGACATAGATAAAGGTATCTTTAATATTCTATACTATACGCTCTCTTTAAAATATCCTAATAGTAAGAGTACTAGATTATTATTTATCTAGGGACTAATAAAACAGCCTATTTAGAGGGGTTATATCTCCTGTGACGAAACTCAAACTATCTAACAAAAGTAATCGTTCCGAAGGTTGGTATGCAGATAAGAAGATCAGATGCGCCGGGTTGTTTACTCGGAGGTAAACTCGTCACTTGTACAAAGTCGTCAAAGTCAAAAGGTATTGATAACTAAGTAAACTAAGTTGAGCACGAAGCTCCTATCTAATGGCAGACATGCCATCTTATATAGAACCTTCGTTCCCATGTGGATCTGAGGATCCCCCAGATCCCTTGTCTGGATCCTGGGATCCTCAAGATCCCAAGATCCATCACGTGACTACATACAATGAAATCCTTGGATGGAGCAGCAAGCCTGCCCCACCCT